TAGGGCTTAAAGTTACTCCTGGAGGGTCAGGTTTGCTGCTGATCCGGGGGGCAGCACAGAGAGGGGCCTTGGAGGCCGCACGAGAAGTTGGAGCCACTCGAGCTCTAAGTCGATTATGGGGCCGCTTGGATTTATTTTAAACCACCTTCTTTTTTGAGGTTAAAAAGTGTATTTCCTACCAAAAATCAAGTTGCATTTTGGCCTCTGCGCCAAGTCCTCGAGAGTTCACGGGCTGAAGCGCCAGAGCCCATTAGAATATAAATAATACCGAAAGGCATTTATAACACGGCCAAATCTCAGCTCGCCTAAAAGGGCTCCCCACTCAAACCGTATATAGAAAAAAGTATATATACATATATTTTCTCTTTTGGTGAGGGAGAGAGGGGTAGAGCGGGAGGTGAGGGGAACAAAAACCAACAATTTCTCCAGCATAAAAATGAAACATCAAATTAGTTTGCCTCTGGGCTTCATTTTTCCCCTTCTACATTATAACTAGTTATTGAACTCGCTAGAAGATCTAAAGGCCATTTGTGAGGAGAGAAATTTCAATGGAGTTCCCCCATCAATAACTCCTTGGCAGTGACCTATTGGATCAAGTCAAACAGTTGAGGTGAAATTCAGGTCACGCTGTCTAACCAATATTAAAATGCGCCCACTTTTTAAAAAGCCACTTTCAACGAGATTTGCAGAAAATTGAATTCCAGGGTGGGGTGAGAAGGGGAGGGGGGTGGAAGGAGGGGAGAGGGAGATTGAGAAACTGTTTTGCATCTTTCCTTCTCCCCCCCTTTTATTTTTTTCCCCAAACAAACAAGAGGGATTCGTCTTTAATATTTGAAAACGAAGGGATAAATATTTACATTATTAGTTTCTTTGAGACGAAAGCGGCTCGCAAGAAAAATGCGCCGGCGAGGAATTTGGGTGACAGCCTTTGCTTATTAAAATCGTTTTAGGCCGATTCATTACTTTTAACTGACAACAGATTTAAGGGAAAAAAATCAATTAAACATTTGCATATTTCTTTGCATAAATTAGACCTGTCTATTTGCATTGTGCGGGAACAAAAAAAAAAAAAAGGAGAAATAAGGAAAGAAAGGTCTCCGTGCGATTCGCGCTTTCAACTTGTTAGGGAAAATTAAATTTTAATTAATTGCCTATCGTTGTATGTGCCAGAGAGACACTAAGTATTTTTTTTTTCCTGAACAAAATGTATAGCTATATGTATATGTATGTATAAATCAGTCTTTCCTCCCCTTCCCACTCCTATAACTTATTATGCCATAATCACCTCCAACCAAGCCTCTAAACTCTCAGAATAAAACTCCACTCCCCAAATTTATTTCCAGCCTGGAACAGGCAGAGTTCATACAACGCCAAGTGGCTATTTTTTTTTCTTTTATTTTTTTCCCTTTCCCCGTTGTTTTTCTATTATTACGAAACCCTGAATAACAAAACCCCAGTAGATAGGTACTTCATTTTTTTCTAGAAAGCACAGATTGCTAATGGGCCGAGGTACAGGTTACCAAACGGTCAGTATGGTAATAGCGAACACAATGAATCCGGAGAGACAATGCACACTTATTTTTCTTCAGTACTGTCAGAAAGGCGCTTTGTACTTCAAAATGCTCCTGCAACGGGAACCACATCCATATATATATATTTTCAACCTGGTACCAAGGTACTAAAAGGAACAAAAAAAAGAAAATATATTATTATTATTTTTTTTAATAGTGAGGTTCTGTGTTTCTGTGGGATTTTTTTTCTTTCTTTCTTTTTTTTTTTTTTTGGTCCCTCCCGAAGTGTTTATCGTGGTGCTGCTGGGGGGACGAGGGATGGAGAGCGGTGGGAGGGCTGCTTTTATAGACAAAAGAGCCAGATTCTTGTACAACTATTCTTCACACGTCCTTGCAGACTTTATTTTATGGAAAGCAAGGGGGGAGGAAAAAAAAAGCAGGAGGCGGTTGAAACATAAATAAATAAAAATACAAAAATCACCCAAATACTTGGGCAAAAAGCTCTAGTTTATAAGGGGAGGGAGGGAGAGAAGACGGGGTAAAAACCTGCCCCCCAGACCAAGCAAGGGGGGAAATGGGATTTTTTTTGTGTGAATTGTATGAAATTCGGGGCAAGCCGCGCACACAGGGGCTGGGTGGAGCTCGACGAGGGAACCCTGCAGGAGCGAGGCGCTTTTTTTTTTTTCTTTCTGGAAAAAAATACAAATTTGTATTGGGAACTGGGGAGGAGAGAAGAAAAAAACAAAAAGAAAGAAAGGGCAAACAGGGCGAATCGAGACACTTTCCCCCTTGGTCATCCAGAGCAGGGAGAGCAAAGAGTTTAGGGGCTTCCAGTTTGGGGACCAGGATGTTCAGGGATTCTGAGGTGACCTTCATGCCTTGCATTTTTCCCCCCTAAACCTTTGGATTATGGTTGTTTTCTTTTGCTTTTATTCCTCTCCCCCCTCCTTTATTTATTTATTTATTTATTTTTAAAGCCCATTCTCTATTTTTCAGATCTCTACCTGTAGATATTTATTTATTCTGCTGGGGCTTATTGAAAACCATATATTCTAAAGGAAGGGAGCGGGGGGAAAGGGTGTGCGTAGGTAAAAATTACTTTATTAACTCTCCATCTTTATTCAATATCCCCTCAGCCTTGGAATAAAGTTGTTGCATCAGTCGGAACTATAAATGTCAAAACCCCGCATGAGGCTGAGGTGTTTGGGCAGAATGAAGTATAGCTGGGGAAGAGGAATTTATTGGATATATTTAAATCAACGTTTTGGGTTCCAGCATACATTTTTATTCATGTATTTCTCCCCTCTACCTTTGAGCTCCCATTTCCACACAGTCTCACTCCCCAGCTCTGAAACTCCTCTGGAAAGAGCAGGGATTTTTACCTGCTGGTGCAAAGAGTGTGTCCCCATATAGGCACATAAGTCCTCGATGTATAGAGATATATATATTTAACTTTAGGAAGGAACCAGCTTCGTCGGGGCACGGGGGGAGCACTTAGTCAAGCCCTGTGGATCAGATGCCAATAAAAACAAGAAGTGCTAAGTAACAGCCAAGCGAGTGAGAGAGTTATTCCCTGTCTGAGTGCCAACACATATATAAATATATATATTCATATATATATATATGGATCTCGCTCTTTGCTTTCGGGGCGGGGGGCGGAATCCGCCACAAAGAGGCAAAGCCTCCCCTGGCTGCGGCCAGCTCAAGTTGGACCAGTGGCCTCTGCCCCCTCTTTGGGCCAAGAAGAGGGAATTTTGGGGAGGGGAGGTAGCCCCTTTGCCCCGCAGCCCTCGCCCGTCGCCTATATGTACCCTGTAGGCTCGAATTTGTGTAAGCGTCGCAAAAGTCACAAATTCGTCTCTAGGGGAATATATGGACGATGCCAGAGCCTTGCGAAGCCCCTCTCCCCCCGCCCCCCCAGCTCCCCTTTGATGCCCTTAATTGCGACCGCCCTAATTAAATCCGCCAAGCCGGGCTGTGTCATTTTAAAAGGTAGTTTATCCAAGCGCACAGCTCGTTATAAAACAAGCAAAATAAAATAAATAATAATAGTAATAATAATAAAGTAGAGCGAAATCACGGTGACGATTTGGGGGTGGAGGCGGGGGGGGGGGATAACCAAAATCCCCCCCCCCCCCGAAAAAATCCCATTATTACTTTTTTTTTTTCCTCTCCAGAAGAACCAGCAGCTACCGCAAACACAACTCGCAGCCAAGAGCACAAAAGAGCCCCGACCATTTCGCCCTGACTGATTTATGGCGTTTTACAACCCCATAAAAAGCTGTAACAACCAGCCAAAAGCCTTCGACACCGCTGGCACATTTAGTCTAATAAATAAAACATAAACAGTTAACTTTATGTGTCACTTTTATTGTTATCAAGTAAAATATGGCAATGCCCTGCGAGCTATGATTTTTCGACTATAATTGTTATCAAGCCCGAGAAGGGAATATCCCACCTCCCTCCTCGGCCCCTCTCTTTAGTGTGAGCCATAGATAAAAGCCCTAATTGAAGAAACTCCGAGAAACTCCCCAAAACGCTGCCAGCATTTTTTATTATTATTTGCTTAAGGTGCAGGGAGGTTTTTCTGCCGCCTGAGAGGACCCTCAGCCCCTGCTTCCTATTAACCCCCCTCTCTGTCCCCTAGAAAAGAGGGGTTTGTAAGAATGACAATAATAGAATAATTCTGGATTTGGGGAAAAAGAGCGGGTTAAATGGCCGGCTCAAGGACGAGGCCCTGGGTGCTCACACTTGTGTTGTTGGGTGCTCTTGGGTGTTACTTGCAGCTCTAGAGAACCAAGGGCAAAAAGGGGCGCAAATAAAGAGAAAGCAGCAGGATTTTGGGGGGGAGGATCCCGGTGGGAAGGGGGAAGGATGGGGGGTCCCCGCTGTTGTCCCCCCCACCTCACCCCGAGGGCGTGGGAAAGTAGGCAGCGCCACCCCAGGGGACCCTCGGGGGGGGGGGCCTGTGAGAGCTTTCTTGAGCAATATCGTAGTGTGAGTATATTTTGCAATAGTTTTCTCATACAGTGGTGTATTTTCAGTTCAGCTGGTTTAGGAAAGACACTTTCTTATCCAATACTGCTGCTTAAACACAGTTGTATCTGTTTATGTTACCAAAGTATTATATAAGCATAAATCAAAGCAATGAATAAATATTTGCAGCTGTTTAGCTAGAAACAACATATGCTTTGGCACGTTCTTCTTGTCTGTAACTATTAGGCATATGAGACAACCCTGCAAATAACCATAGAGGCAGGAACACACAGAATGGAGAAGAGGAACTAGAATCATCCAGCTCTTTTCTTACAGAAATTTGAAAGTCCATGCCTGTTAAGTTTGACCTAAAATGCTAAAATCTCTATTCCTTTTCCTGCTGCTGACTTTGTAACTGACCTCATGCAAGTGGAGGGAAAAAAAAAAAAAAAAAAGCTTTTGGTTCCTGTTCCGGGGACTGGGCTGGCGGGTGTGATTGGCCGGGGGAGTCACATGGTGAAAGTAACTTTACGGGGTCGCCAGCTAGTAGGAGGGCTTTATGGAGCAGAAAAACGACAAAGCGAGAAAAATTATTTTCCACTCCAGAAATTAATGATCATGAGCTCTTATTTGATGGACTCTAACTACATCGATCCGAAATTTCCTCCATGCGAGGAATATTCGCAAAATAATTACATCCCAGACCACAGTCCGGAATATTATAGCCGGACAAGGGAGTCCAGCTATCAGCATCACCATCAAGAGCTGTACCCAGTGCCACGACCCTCCTTCCCCGACCGCCAGTACAGCTGTGCTAGTATCCAAGCTGCCGGCAACCCGGCCGGCCACCAAAGGGGACACGGGCCACCTCCAGGAGGCCAACACCTCTCGGAGAAGGCGCAGCAGCTCTGCGAGCAGGCTGCTCTTGTCACCTCTGCTGCCACCACCACTCCTTCCCCGGCCCCCGCCGCCTGCGGCCAGCCAAACCCCGAGCATCCCACCAGCACAGCCTCCAAACAGCCCATAGTCTATCCCTGGATGAAAAAAATCCACGTCAGTACCGGTATGCAACTTTTCTTTTCCTCTCCGTCGCGCTGCTCGCTGATTTAAAAAAAATTATAAATATATATATTTTTCCCACCCCATGCTCTCCCTGTGCTTCCCTCTCTCTCTCTTCCTCTCTCCTTTTTTTTTTTATTTCCTTCCCTTCCATGAGAGTCTTTGGGTTAGCACAATTGAACTGGATTTACGACTCCGAATGGGTAATTACACCCACCATAAATTTTATAGCCGCGCTACTGTGGGCAGCCGGAGCCATGTGGCTCGCTCTGTTATGTATGTGTGAAACTCGGAGAGCTTTGTACGGGGGGCATAAATAATTCAGGCTTTTGAGCCAGGGAAACCCCTTCCTATTAGAATAGCAACTCTTGAGCTGCCCAAAGTTCTTTATTACCTATTTAAGCCTATTACTTTTTGCCTCTCAAGCTGCTCCACTTCTCTCTGCTGTTTCTCGGGCTCTTTCTCGCTTCTATTCATGCTAATTATTTTCCCTCCTTTTTATTTTTTATTTATTTTTTATTTTTGGCGTTTTCCCCCGTTTCCCCCCCTCCTTTTTTTTTTTTTTTTTTTTTCCCCCCCAGTGAATCCCAATTAACACGGAGGGGGACCCACAGCCCC